CTGGAAGGAAGGTGGGGCTGAAGGGAGACCTTTGGGTGCAGAAGGTGGATCTGCTGGTCCACAGGACTTTGCCAAAGAAGGTGCTTGTCTGGCTACCATGGGGGCAAAGGTGGCAGAAGTAAGGAGTGGATCAGAAGCCATCAGGACCAAGCAGGATGTTCTGGCTGTTCCTGGTGTTCTTCAGAAAGAAGCTGCCTTAAGGGGAGCAGAAATTCCAGCTTGATTGGATTTATAACAGACTTGACATGTGTCATCCTCCACCCCCACCCCGCTCACACACACACACATGGCCAGCAAGACCTTTGAGGACTCTGTCCTTCTGGCTGGTTTTCCTAACATTTGTTTGCAACATTATGAAGGCTGTTGGAAATCACATCTCTCGTCTAGGGTTACCCACTTGGGAGGCTGCTGGCATTTTCTACCCCAAGCACGAAGCGCCACTATTTGGTTGCTCCATGACAATCTGCTGTCACATGGTCTGTGTGGGGCTTAGGACACTGTGTGCATCCAGCTGTGGTGGCTGGTGAGCCATAGTGGAGCCGCATGGGAGATGAGCTCCGGCAGTTGTGGGAGGTGCCAGCTCAGCAGTTGGGTTATCATTCTTTGTGTCTGTTATTGGGCACAGAAGGTTGTCTTGGTCTACAGAGCATTTGTCAGGGAGCAATGAGTGGCCTTGTCTGCCTTGCTGGAGCAGGAGAGCAAATGGAGCTGAGTGGCAGATTCCCACATCTGGGGAGTCTTAGCTGCTACATGGGAATGGGCTGGTGTTGAGCCCTAGAGACCCAGCTGCTGCTCAGGGAGCGGCTCTTTGCCTGGGCAGCTTCAGGGCCTCAGGATAGTCCCCTTTGGGGAGCGCAGCAGAGAGATTCTTGGATTGGGTGACAGCTGGTGTTTACTTTGTGCTGAGATGTGTTAAAACACTTTAGGGTGGTTTCCTTTTTTGCAGTAGCTAGCTGCATTGAGCTCCCTTACAAGACAAGGGATCTCCTTTAACAATATTCTGTGAAAAAAAGAGGCAAAATATGGCAGGGAGGAACTACTGGGCTCCTACATGAGGGTGGGCTGTATTAACAAGCTCCTGGTCTGGCCCAGGAAAAGCCCCACTAGGCTCCTGTAGGAAAGCCACCTTTTCGTCCGCTCTCCCATTGGCTGGGGAACAGTCTGGCTGCTGTATGTGTGTCTGTATTCTTGCTTTTGGCCCAAGTGCAAGCTGCAAGGGGCCCTTTAAGGGTGCATGAAGGAAGTGAGCCCTGGGGCACCACTCTGGTCCTCGCTGCCTTTGGCTTCCCGGGGCTCTAGAAGATGGCGTTGGGCTGGGAAGGTGACAGAAGGAGCGGGCATCTCCCAAGTGGCAGCCCAGGACAATGATGCAGGCAGGTGGCAGGGAAAGATTTTCTGAAGATTTGCTCCTTCCCATTTGGCTCCAGGCTTGGTGCAAGATATTCTCCAGCTTCTCCTTTATTTTAAACCTAGGCGCTGTCTATAGAAGACAAGGGCTTTATCCACTGCTGGGATGGCAATTGGGGGAAGAGCCCCCACTCTCCCCAGCAACGACTCTCCTCCTTCGGAGTCCTCATTTCCACAGCATCCTCCAACTTTGTAGTTTTCCAGAGAAGCATGGAGCTGTCTTTCTGTTTCCCAAACTGAAAAAAATGTGTTCCTTATTATAAATCCAAAATTCACATTACAGGTTACCCTGAATGAAGGAAGGACCAAATATTCCTGATTTGCTTGTAGAGGTTTGAGTCTGTGGATATCAAGAAGCTGTAATTCAAAACCTGCTGGAGACAAAAAACAGAAATGAACAATGCTGCTGGGGTGGTAGTCTTGTGTGTTGCTTAGCACACACACTGGATGCTCAGGGAACAATGGAGGTCTTGTGTGTTGCTTAGCCTGTGGGCTAATAGGTGCTCTGGACAGGAGTGATTCCCATTGCAAGTCAGGAAATTCCTCAATGGCTGCTTCAGAACATTGCAAAGAAGTTGCTTCTTCATCCCCATTAATGCTTATCTTGGTTTACTCTTCAGCCCTTGCAATATCAACACAAATGCCTATGTTCCTTCGTAGATCAAAGGAAAGGCCAGTTTTAATTAGGCCCTAACGCATGCATAGGCAAAGCAAATGTGCTTGCAACTAAAACCGTGTCCTTTGAGGAGGGTCTCTTGGCTTAAAATCCCCCCACCCCATCCCCGACTGTTGGTCTGGTTGCGAGAGACAAAAGCTGCCTGGCCACACAGCCCATCGGGGCGTGAGTGCGCCCAGCATTCCCGTGGGCCAGGGGGAGCGTTGCTAGGGTTCCCGTCTGACCTCTGGAAGCCCAGGCCACACTTGGAAGCGCCAGGCAGCCGCTTGTCCTGCTCTGGCCAGCACAGCTGACCTCGCTTCCCTCCAATGTCCAGATTCACATTCTTTTGTTGTGGGGGGGAGGCAGACATTGCTGAGGAAGGCTATTCATCTGCTCAGAAGAGGGGGGGTCCGGCAGAGAAGGGGGGTGCTTGGGGTCGCCAGGGCCCTGCCCAGCTTGGCCTGCCATCAAATAAGATTTAGGGAGGGCCTCTTTTTCTCCAGCTCTACAAAGAGATGGATGGCTCGGGTTTCAAGAGGGCAGTTCTCCCTGGCCTCTGCTTTTTTGCACGTAGACCAACCCTGCAGAAATGCTGCCCCCTGGACCTGCCTGCCCCTTCCCCAGGCTTCACTTCTTTGCCCGTTGAACGCCTATCCACATGCCTACTTTGATGGGTGCTGGACGCTTCCTGCCCTTCCCTTCCAAAGGATGGTACAGGCTTCCTGATCTGCGCTAGCGATTTGTACCTAGTGACCGCTTCTGCAGATTTCAAAGCCTGGTGGGGAACAGGGTTCAGTGATCTGTGGGGCCAGACCCTTTCTGCCTTCCCTGGCCATGAGCCCTTGACTGGGGTGAGGTTGGATTCTGGCCATTTGGAAGAAGGCTGTGAAGTTGAGAGGAGGGGAGAGATTTGCTCACTCTGCTGTGCAGGAACAAGGCCATGGGGGGGATGACACCAACCCCCCCCCCCTCCAGTCAGCAGGCCAGCTCCACCTGGCTCTTTGGGCTCCTCTCTCTTTAGGCTTGGCCCAAGAGCCTCCGTGGCTAGTTGGCTTTTTAGCTTCTGCAGAGGGTAACATTAGGTATGGGGGCTCAAAATCCCCTCCCCTGTGTTTGCCACACAGCTCTCCTGGCACAGCAATTAGCCATCCTGCCTCCTGAAGGGCCCCTTTCTTTTGCTGAGGAAGAAATTCTGTAAAGGAAGGTGATGAGGAGGCGGCACATGAGGCTGCTGCCTGTTGCAGGGAAAGAGAGTCAGTTGGCTGGCATGCACTTAAATCATCATTTCTCCATAAGTCTCAGCTACAGTCTGGCTGCTATTGAAGCTCCCCCCATCTTGCCAAGAGGCAGGAAGTGACTCAGTGCCACCCCAAGAGTCCCTGGGAGTGGGGTGCTCTGGGGACTGTGCCAAAGAACCTTCAACCCCCCCCTCCACTGGTTTCCCTTAGGCACAGCTGTGTTACTTTCCTCTATTTTATTGGGGAGGGGGGCACCCCAGAGCTCGCCCTGCTTCTTGTGGGTCAGCCCTCCTGTGACTGTGAGACCTGTGTAGAGCCGCCCCTGCTGAGATTTATCCTGGCAGAGGTGATGAATAGGGCCTGGCAGGAGAGACAGATGGCTGGGACCCTCCCTCATTACTGCATCTGGAATGCCCCTTCCTCTTTATCCACGAAAGCTTTTGTTCCGTCTCTCCAGAAAGACGGATTTATTATGCCTCTACACCTCTCCAAGGGAAACACAATGCTGAAAAACCAGTCCCTCATGCTTTGATCCATGTGTTTCTCAGCACCCAGACACCCACCATTCACACTTCTGGCAATCCTGTTGCAGCAGAGCAGGCTGGGCAGAAGATGGGGGAAGGGTCCCTGCAGAGTCCTTGCTTCCCAGGATGCTCTTCTGGCACATGGTCTCCGTTGGCTGTCCCGCCAGCTCCACTCCCGCTTGAGAGCCATAGCCCTTAGACTTACCTCCTGCCCCATGGTGGTTCTAAATGACCTAACTTTCAGAAGGCTGGTTCTAGCTCTGTGTGTGTGAGAGAGAGAGGGAGGGAGGGAAGGAGAGAGAAAAGCGGTAGAGGCACTGCAGAAACCTTCCACTGACAATTTCTGGAATGTCAGTAGCACCAAGGTGGTGCTGCAGATGGGCAGCCCTTCTGGACCAGAGCCCCCTTGGATTTCTGCGCTGCTGGATGGGGAGCGGGGTTCCAATGCAAATATCCTTCCTCTTTTGCTCTGTCATAGGAAATGTTCTTTCATGGCACTCTCTTAGTGACCCTTGAGGAGAGTAATGGGATGCACACTCAGTTTTCTCTGTCTTTGTGGTGGTAACAGCAGAAAGGGAGGTGGATTGGGGGGGGGGACTTGCAGCCCTTTCCTGAAGGGAAAAGGGGGTCCTTCTATCTTGTTTTGTGAAGAGAGCAGAGCCCAGAATTCCCAGGAAGGCATTGGGGTTTCTCTGTAATTGACTGGCACTGCATCCATAGTTTTGTGCTTCATTGTGGAACGCTGGTGAGGTCAAACAAGTTGGTTACCCAGCAAAGAAGCCAGAGAGATTCCAGGTAGCAAAGTGGCTCCTGCCTGCTCAGTTGACCCCTGGAGGACCTTGCTGATAAGGCTCCCTCTTATCAGCAGCATTGCAGTTTATTGAGGCATAGCTTTGCAGTGCTGATAAGGCTTCTGGTAGGGCAGGGGAAGGCACGGGCAGGGAGGGTGGGGACAAGGAGCCTGCCTTTCCCAGAGGGGCCCCAGTGGCTCACTGATTCCCAGTGGGGCTCCTAGCTGCCTTCTCAAAGACCTCCTGGGACTCCTCGGAACTGGAGCCTATCACTGCAAGTTAACCGGATATGTTGTGCTGCTGGCCTTTCTTAAATGCACTGAAAGGTGGAGCTCACCCCTTCCCCATTGGGGCTCAGCCTCTCCTCTCCCCCCTCCTGCAGCCCTCTCTGCCTTTGAAGTCCAGCCTCTCCCCACGGAGGTCCATGAAGGGGGCGTGGCTAGATTTGCCTGCAAAATCCCAGCCCACCCTCCAGCCATCATCACCTGGGAGGTGAATGGGACAGTGCTGCTAATGGAGACGGACAGGTAAGGTTTCAGAGTTTCTCCTAGGTACCTCTAAACCTCAGAGGGTGGGACATAGGGTATCTCCCTTTCAGCCTGTCCCATAGCCCTGGGAGGGGAGGGGAGGGGGCTGCAAGTGGGTCTCTCCTTGGGCCTGAGTCTGCCACCTGTCTTGGCTGTGGGTTGACTCTCCAATCATGCTGAAATGCAAAAGCAGCACCACTCACAAGGTGCCAGCTTCAGACAAATTTCTTGTTTTGATTTTGAGAAAATGAAAGGGTGACATTTGAGGCTAGTACTGGGTTTAAGAAAATGCGGCCATGCTTTGTGTGCAACTTGAGAGCATGATTCTGCCTTCCAAAAAGTTGGCTCCTTGTTGCAGCCTCCCCCAACCTATTCCAGGAGGTGGGGCTGGGGTGGGCCCGGGATCCCGTTTCTAGCTCTGGCCAAAAGCAGCCCAATTGGCTTGCAGGGCACCTGGTGGGGAGGGGAAGGCAGACCCCTGAGAAGCGCAGAAGGACTTTTTCCTATCACCATTCTGTCCTTCCAGGATAACTGTGCTGCCATCCGGAGTGCTACAGATCTATAGTGTTGAGCCAAAAGATGCAGGGAGTTACCGTTGTGTTGCTACAACAGTTGTCGGCCGGCGGAGGAGTGGCGAGGCTAAACTCACTGTTGCTCCAGGTATCCAGAAAATCTTGCTGCTTTTCGAACATTGTTGCCAGCAAACAATGATGTTCAGAGTCCTGACGTATCAGGTGGAAAATGGTCTTCACCAAAGTGCCTCCCTCCATAATTCCATTTCTAAGGCTTGAAGCGGTTCGCATTTGATGGATGTGGACAACACATTTCTGTTGTATGCTTTTTTCCCCCCAACAGCTACCAATACCAAGCTCTTCCATAAGCCGTCCATTATAGCTGGCCCCCAAAATATGACAGCTTCTCTCCACCAAACGGTCATCTTTGAGTGTGTGGCCATCGGGAATCCAAAACCAATTGTGTCCTGGAGTCGCCTTGGTGAGTGGTAGATGGTCCACATTGGCTCTTTGGCTTCCAGCTGTGGGAAATGAAAGGTGCCACCACTTGCAGGTCGCATGAGGGAGAATAAGTGGGAAAGCCTTTTGAGTGTGACGCATTCATTGTTGCTGCCGACAGGTTGGCATGCGAAAAGGGAAATTGTCCCTTTGAAGTTCTCAGTCAGTGCTCCCAAAGTTGGAAAGGAAAAATTGCATTGGAGAGAATGATCATTTCTGATAGATTGTAGGCATGACCATCTTTTCCCACCTGATGGGCATCTCTGTATGACTTGTGGCAGAAGCTCCTACACCATCCATGCTAGCTGAAAAGAGTCCGTGTGGGAGAGAAAGCTAAAAACCATTTGTCTTCTGCTAAATACTTCTCGATGTCACAAGATAAGCTGATTGTGCAATTCTTGTGTATCCTGATGCATTTTGTTTTTTTTTTTATTTTTTTTATTTAATTTTTTATTTCTAATCTAAAATAAAACTTTTCTTCAAAAAAAAAAAAAAGAAATGGGAGTTGCAGGCTATTCAGCGGGGAAGAGGATCAGACCCTTTGCTATCAAGGGAGTTAGGGGTCTGCTGGAATTTCTCCAGAGGTCTGACATTTGGATGAATGCCTGAGATTCCACTTCGCAGGAGGTAGGAAGCACCACAAACCAAGGAAGGTGTTTGAAATGTCCCTCTCAAAACAGACCACAAGTCTCAAAAGAAGGTTAAACCTAGGAGAAGGGTGATAAGATCGTCTAATTAGATTAACTAGTTATTTACTAGGCTATATAATTCTTTATAATTTTGATAAAAACAGGCCAATTGTTTTGTAGATAGTTAAAAGAACTTGATTGCATTGAAATGTTTGGCTAGGATGATATTAGTTAATATTAATTGGAGAGTGAGCTTAACTCTCGGTTAGTCATGTTTGTTGTTTCGTTTTAGTCTTGTGTTTATGTGTTTCTATATTTCACTTCTTATATTGCCTTCCAATCATTATTGTGTGTTAATTTTACTGTAAATATTTAATAAAGATATTTAAAAAAAAAAAACAGACCACAAGTCCATCGATGTTTTCAACACACGGGTGCTTGGAAATGGGAACCTCATGATCTCGGACGTGAAGGTACAACATTCTGGTGTGTACGTTTGCCGTGCTACAATCCCTGGCACACGCAACTTCACCACTGCAATGGCAACACTGCTGGTGCTAGGTGAGGAGCGAGTTGGAGGAGGTTTAGCTCTGGGCAGGGCGGGACTCCAGGATCTCTTCTGCTGAAGGTTGGGGATGCCAGGAGAGGGGATCTGACATGGGCTTTCAAGCCAAACTCTGTGGCAAAGAGGGCTCTTTTGACAAGCTGCACAGGCTGCCTTGGGCCAAGGTGGGCCAGGCTTTCTGAGGAGCATCTGTCAGTAATGGGTCTGGGTCCCAGGGATGTACAGTTTGAAAAACTGGTTGAGACTGTTTTTAGAAAGGGAGAAGGTGAAATGGATCCTGCTTCCTGTTTCTTGCAGCCCCCCCTTCTTTTGTGGAGTGGCCGGAGAGCTTGACCAGGCCCCGAGCTGGCACAGCCCGTTTTGCCTGCCAGGCAGAAGGCATTCCGACACCCAAGATATCCTGGCTGAAGAATGGCCGGAAGATCCATTCCAATGGCAGAATCAAGACCTATACCAGGTAGGGAAGCAGGCTGCTTGGTTCTCGGGTAACAAGGAGTGGTCCTGCCTAGGTGAGGGGCAGACCAGAGGTGGGTTTCAGCAGGTTCTGATCAGTTCTGGAGAACCAGTAGCGGAAATTTTGAGTAGTTCGGAGAACCGTTAGTAAAAATTCTGACTGGCCCCACCCCCATATATTCTCTGCCTCCCAAGTCCCAGTTGATCGGGAGGAAATGGGGATTTTGCAGTAACCTTCCCCTGAATTGATTTATTTTGATTTATTTGATTTAATTTGATTTATATGCTGCCCTTCTCCGGAGACTCAGGGTGGCTTACAATGCATTAAGCAATAGCCTTTATACTTTTGTATATTTTATACAAAGTCTGCTTATTGCCCCCACAATCTGGGTCCTGGATTGGGAAGGGAATGGAGATTTTACAATATCCTTCCCCTGACACGCCCACCAAGCCACACCCACAGAACCGGTAGTAAAAAAATTTGAAACCTACCACAGGGGCAAACATACAGCACAGGAGGAGGACTGGGCCTGCTCTTTGGAGAAGTGGACCAGGGCCCTTCCCTCAGTTTAGGGTTCTGTTCAAGAGGTGCTTGAGAAATGCTGCTCCTCCATGTAAGTGGAATCTGATGAGCAGAATAATAGCATAACGGGAGCGCTCGTCACCCCCTTCCCAGCACTGCTCTGGGTAAGGCTTAAAGACCTGCTGATGAACTGGCCTGCTTGACACATCCTTTGCTTCTCACCTGCCTGATTTGGCTCCCTTCTAATGCCTTCCCTCTTCATCTTTCCAGTAAATTGGTGATCAACCAGATCATCCCGGAAGATGATGCCATCTACCAGTGTGTGGCTGAGAACAGCCAAGGGACTGTCCTTGCCAGGGCACGCCTGACAGTAGTTCTCTCTGAAGACCGGCCCAGCGCACCTTGCAATGTTCATGCAGAAACCATGTCAAGCTCAGCCATTCTCTTGGCATGGGAGAGGCCACTGTATAATTCAGACAAAGTGATTGCCTACTCGGTGCACTATATGAAGGCGGAAGGTGAGTCCGGGTGGGGCTGCTGCGAAAGGGAGGGATGAAATGCTCATGGTGCCAGCAGCCTTCCCGGTCCATGGGGGACCAACAGTGGAGCTGCTTCTGTATGTGAGCGACCTTCAGGGTTTTCAGCAGCAAGTCCTACCTAGTTAGAAGAGGCAGCCATATCTTCCTTCTCATCATATTATACATTTTGGCATTTATTAAATACTTTTTAAAAAGATTACCAGATCTTTGGAAAGATAAATATTGCATAAATTAGTTGGATGATGGACTGAAAAACTGATACTGATTCATTCCAGAAAATGGCTATATTTAACGTGTGTCTCTAGGAAAAAGGCCCATTTGGGGGTGCAAGAATTGCTGGCAAACAGTTCTTTTGGGAGTAATGGTGGGCTTCCAGCATATCCTGGAAGGGGGACTGATCTCGGCACTGGAGCAGAAACAAGCAGTTGAGCTCCATCTGCTTGACCCTTGTGAGAGCAGAAGGCTGGCTTTGAGAGGCCTTGAGCTGGGCCCCAGGGGGGGCTCTTGAGGGCCCTAATTGCTGGGAGAGGGGTGGGGAGGGCTTCTTGCTTTCTGTTTCCAAAATGGCGTGGAAGATTTCTCACAAGTCAGATAGTTTTGTGTAGATCAGAGGCACCTCGGCAGGAGTTCTCCAACATGTCTGTTTGTGTATTAAAAAAAAAAAGGAAAGAAATGAGGGTCTCTTGAGAGGACCTGCTCTGAAAGTTGATTTCTTCTTGAAAGATAGAGGGGAAGGGTGATTGTGGGGGTGGGAACAGCGGGGTTAGTGAATAAGAAAGAAGATGGAGGGAGCAGCTTTCTTGTGTCTGAGCCAGGAGCCGCAGCACCACAGGAGGCCTCGCAGCCATTCACTGCACACAGGTCCCTATGTGGCAGGTCAGAAATCGTGCCTAATTAACAGTCCTTTAATTGGAGGCTTGTGAGGCGCTGATGAACTTGCCTGATTAAAATGCTATCAATTTAACTCAAAACTGTCTCAAAATCAACTGGTGGAATGTCAGACTGTGGCCTGCCTTCTGAAGTGGAGGAGCTGATGCTGTTTCAGCTGGGTGGGTGGGGGTGCGTGTGTGCCTTTTCCACAGCGGATAGGCCGCTGACAGGCTTTAGGTGCTAAGGAGGGTCCAGAGCAGTTGCCAGCTTTTGTCTGCTTCAGAGGCCTTTGACAGGCTGTGCTGGACATCCAGCATTTGCACAGACATAAATTCCCCAGAATACTGCTAAGAGTAAAAGATGTTTGGCTCTGTTTTAGATCAAAGCCCATTTTAGATCTAGATCTCACCCATTTCCTGCCCTATTTGTGCTGTTTAGTGGCTTCTGAGGGAGCCTTCCATCCTAATGTGCTTGTGCTGCTGTTATTGTGTTCCAGGCTTAAACAATGAAGAATACCAAGTGGTGATTGGAAATGACACCACCCATTATATTATTGATGACTTGGACCCTGCCAGCAACTACACCTTTTACGTGGTGGCCTACATGCCCCTGGGGGCCAGCCAGATGTCTGACCACGTCACTCGGCATACACTGGAAGACGGTACTGGCTTCCTTGCTGAAAAAACTGCCACGAGAGACCTAGAACCCAGAGGGTGGGTTGGTGGGGCGGAATGACAGGCGGCAACAGTTGAGTCCATAGAGGAGGAATCCCCTCCTGGCTCTGTAAGGGAGGGGTCTGCATCCTTATGACCACCAAGCTGCCATAGGCCAAGGGGGTCATGGTGGGTCTTCAGGAGCAGGCACGGGGCCCCGAGGAGGAGCTCTTGCTTCAGCAGAAGAGGCCTGGCTTGGCCTGTGCCTGGCTGCTTCCAGTGCTTTGACCGAGGAGAATCTGAGTCTCTCTAGAACAGGGTCCTCCATATGGATACAAAACATTGGAAGCAAAGCATGAAGAACAGTAGGAGTGGGAGAAGCAGCCGCAGCAGCAGCAGCAGGGAAGGACATCTGACAAGGCCTCTCTCTCTCTCTCTCTCTCTCTCTCAGACTGCTCAGTCCCTTAACGCTCCATTTCCAATCCAGCATGCAGCCTCCCTCAGACCCTTGGAGTGGCTGACTCTGTCTTCCATCTTTCCTCCTCCTTAGTTCCGCTGAGGGCTCCCGAGCTCAGCCTGACCAGCAGAACCCCCTCTGATGTCCTCATCTCCTGGCTGCCCATCCCAGTCAAGTACCGGCGAGGGGAGGTGGTGGCTTTCCGCCTCTCCTTCCGTCTCAGCATGGAGAGCAGCATCCAGGGACTGGAGCTCCCAGGGACCACCTATGAATACTTGCTTCGGGGGCTGAAGCCCGACAGCATCTACTTGGTTCGCATTTCTGCTGCCACAAAAGTCGGTTGGGGCGAGGCCTCTCTGTGGACTTCCCATCGCACCCCAAAAGCCACCAGTGTCAAAGGTGCCCCCTCTTTTTCCTCCAAATTAGTAGCAGAGCTATTCTGTCTAAATAGAGCTCTCCCCCCACCTGAGAAAGAAGGTCACAGGGGCTGGCCAGTTTGATGTAGACGACTGCTCCCAAACATTGTGGCTCTTCCTTAATAACTTTGTTTGTAAGAAGCAAAAGGCAAATAAAGCCACAGGAAAAGGGGAGTTACAGGGAGAAGGCGCTGCTGCTAAGATTGTCGGATAGTCCAGGGTGATCTGGCTTTCTTCACAAGCATTGGGGCCAGGAGGTGGTGGACCCATTTGTTTTGTGGTGAGCTGTGAGATGGTCAGCCATATAATGTCAGCAAATAAATAAACATATCTAATTTTGGCAGGATTGCCTCCCACTCCCTTATCAAATTAAAGGGTGGCAAACCACTAACGTGGCCGAAGTTGACAGGCTGTAAGACTTGCTGTCAGATAAAGGTGTAAGTTCTCCCCTGATGCTCTTAAATTGAACCTTTCATATCCATTCTTTCCCAGCACCAAAGTCTCCTGAATTGCGCCTAGAACCCCTGAACTGCACAACAATCACCATAAAGTGGCAGCAAGAGCTTGCAGACATGGCCGCCATCCAAGGCTACAAGCTGTACTATAAGGAAGAAGGCCAGCAAGAGAGCGGACCAATTCTGCTCAGGGCCAGGGATTCCACCTACACCATCGGCGGCCTGGGTGAGCAGGACCTGATCACCCTCTCAGCTCAGGGGGAGATTTTCCTTCACCGCTATCAGGGGCAACAGAGAACAAGAAGGGTGGTCAGTGAAAGTCAGTTGTAGACCTCATGAGGTAGCCCAGATATGGCCCAACTTATTCATGTGCAGTCTGGGGTTGGGGGAACCAGTTAGGGGGGCATATTTGCTGCTGACGCTGGAATATTGTTGGTGTTGGAAAGGAAAAGAGGCAGCCAAATGCTCACAGAGTTGTGCTTAAGCTAAGCTAATTATGCGGGTTGTTAACTGGGTAGAAGCAGCCGAACCATCTGTATGGCAAGGGTGACTGAAGGGCCCGAATCTGACATATTGGAGGCATATTGGAAATGTGCTGAGCATCTCCATGGAAACAGAGACTCAGGACAAGTGAGGGAAGGGTGGGATGGTGAAGTCCCAATTAAGGTTATGTCAAGCCTCCATTGGCATCATCCATTGCAGAGATGGTGTTCAGTTGGGCTCCCAGCCATTCAGATGGGGGCTTTTGAAGGGGGATTATAGACATCGGATAGTCCCCTTGGCACAGTTCACCATTTTTCCGGTTCTCCTGTCAAGCTGGTAGCTGGGGAGTAGCTGCCGCTGAAGAACAGCCCTTTCCCCACCCTACTGGCTCTGGGAAGGCTGCCTCTCCACCTGCCTTGACTGCCCTGAAGATCCAGGGCCAGAGCCACCCCCTTCCCTTTCTGGCAGGAAGATGCAAGCAAGCTCTTTGCCCCTGGAAGCGAAGGCTCTTGCATAGACACCCCTGTCCCTTCAGACTCTGCCTGCTTGGTGTCCCCTGTTTATTTTTGAATGCTCCTCATTATGTGCTTGAATTCTGGGCTGCCCCCTTATAAACAAACAGCTCAACTTCCTTGGTGATGGTGCTAAAAGTCCCAGATGCTGATTATTCAACAGTGGTTGTGGTTCTTTGAACTCATATTACTTTCTATATTATTGTTTGGAAACTGGGTTGGCATCTTTGCCACTCTTCATTTGATCCTTCTGACATTTTCCTGGCATTGAAATTCCCTGAGGGGGCCCTTTGCAGATTTCTCAATGTTTTATTTGAGGAATAAACACAGATTTTCTTGGTTTGTGGAAGATCCTAGCCTTGCAGGAAAGTGTGGAAAGAAGAAAGATTAAAGTGGACTACAAGAACCATGCTTATGGGTGGCCTTGTGTCTTCTTCCCCATGACTGGCTGGGCAAAGCTGTACTTGGGAATTGAAACGTTCCTGTGTTTTTGGGAGAGGAAATATGTGATTTCAGCAGGCGATAAAGGCCGCATGGAAGATTGCTTTCCCAGAGGAGCTTCTTTAGATCCTGCCCTCTCTCGGCTCTGCCAACCTCCTGCCCTCACAGAATTTTCTGGTGTGTGTGTGTGTGTGTGTGTGTGCATACAAGGCAGGTGAAGAGGAAAGTTTATCTGACACTGTGGCATGACCAAGCAGCCAGTGTGGGCAGGCCTTGCCACTGTGAAAGCCCACTACTTCTGCAGAAGTCTGTTTTCTCAGACCACATCACCCAAGTCTGATGTTTATTTATTTATTATTTATTATTATTTATTTATTAGTCCAATTTATATGCTGCCCTTCTCCGTAGACTCAATGCATTATAGCAATAGCCTGCATCCTTTTTTGTATATACCTGCTTATTAGGGCTTTCGCCCCCCTCCCAAGTGGTGGTGTTCTATACAAAGTTGGCTTATTGCCCCCACAATCCGGATCCTCCATTTACCTACCTCGAAAGGATGGAAGGCTTGAGCCTGGGGAGATTCGAACTTGCACTAGTTGCGGGCAGCTGGCAGCTAAGTGCTAGCACTTAACAGCACTTTAGTCCGCTGCACCACTGAGGCTCAGTTTAAGCTGCATAGACTCACTCTTGCCTAGGCTTCACTTCCTCCACAAGATGACATCTGTGCTTTTCCACCCACACAGGTGGCCACGAGTCCATTCTCAGGGGGCCTCTGTTGAGGAACCCTTTGTGCCACATCCTACGTCCTTCCTATAACTTCCCTGGCTCGGCTGCCAGCTCCCTCACTATTGTTCTCTTAAGGACTGTGGCAGGGAACCACCTCCAGATAGCAAGAAAGCCACCTCTAGGACCCCTGAGAGAGGTTGAGGTTCTGGACTCCCAAGAGGAAGGACAATCTCTGCATTTTTTTAAAAAAAATGGAAATTATAAGACTGAAAGAGGAGTTGCCAAGTGGAAGAAGTTTGCCTCAGTCTTTCTGGATGAAGCAGTTTAGCCAGAAGGCGAAAGAACAGTCTTAAGACTTGTCTAACTGTGAAATTTGAGGGAAAGTCTAATATGTCAGTAGCTGAGGGCTAAAATCAACTCTCTCCCACCAGCCATGTAGCCCAGGTGAATGTGGGCTGTCTCTAGGGGTTGAGCAGTTTGCTTCCCAATTATGCCAAGGAGATGTTGAACCATGAAAGACAAGAGGAAGGCTTCAAAGGCTTGGCAGGAGGTGAGTCTGGAGGATCTGATTGTGGCTGCAGGTCATCAAAGGTGTTAACCAGCCGTTGAGCACCCAAGCTGAGATGGAGGTTCTGGAACAGAACATTCCTTTGTGATGTGAAATAAGATGTTTTCCCTTCAATTTCTACAAGAGGAGAGAAGTTGTACTCTGTATATTCTCTTGGTGAATACTCCACCTTGAATTAATCTCAGCAAAAATCTGAAATGAAAGGAGTTTAAAGGATATGAAAGTGACATAATGTAATTTGTGGGCCTCCCTTCTCTGCCCCGGGCCTTTTCATCTCAGGAAAACACAGACACAACCAAAGGGTGGCCTTATTTTTATTAAGAAATGTCACCGGAAATCCATACTCCAGAAATTAAGCATTGCCAGGGAGAGAATTTTGTGGCCCACAAAGCTTAATCTGCTTCACCGCAGAAAACATAGACTGGTCTTCCCAAGCAGTTGAGAAGATGCCAAGTTAAACTTCTTCATAAAGTCTCCCCACTGATTTGCCTTGATCATCATCTCTTCATTAGGAGGATAAGATGTTTTGGAAGCTGCCTTAAACGGAAAAGTCATCTTTGATGGGAACCCAGAGTTTGGAGAGTGACAAAAGTCTCCTGGACAAAGCACTCTTTAACCTCCTGTGTTGCTAATCCTGCCATTGCAGCTCACTTGCTCAAGTTCTGCTTTTAGTTCTCTGTTCTGCTACATGTCTGAGCTGCCACTTGATGCCCAGGAGAGAGCGGAAGAATCTGCTGGGAGGTCTGAGAGAAGTAGAGCTTTCCTCTTGTCTCTTTGCTGAGTTGCCACTTCTGGAGCAATGGAGAATCTCAAAGGAAAGCTTCACCTTGCACAAGATGGCTTCCTTCTTTCCAACTTGGGATGAGCAATAAGGTGGCCCTCCTTCAGTGATACCTGGACTTCATATGAGGTAGCAAAGGCTGGCTGTAGGGAAAGGTCAGGAAGTGTGACCCAGTTGAAGTTGCAGGAAATCTGTTTGTTCTGAGCCTCCTTGCCCAGAGCTGTTTCTGGAGTCCTCAGACAATGTCCTGTCTTCTGTAATTTTCTCATCCTACAAGCTATACTACAAGTGACAGTGATCCCAACTGAGACGGTGTTTTCACTCTCTCACATGGGAGGGGAGATTTTTTGAAGACACTGAAGGCTTCAAGGGAGGAATACGTAAGCTTCTCCTTCTATGCAAGAGTCTTACCTTGGATTAGGCTTGACAAGCTCCTCCTGGCAAAAGAGGCCCCACCCCTTCATTATACTTTGAATGCATAGTAGCACCTGGCAGTCAGCAAGAGAAGGTGGCAACAGCTGTGGGAGTCAAAGAGGGTGGTGGGTTCCACCCTTGGTTCCCCGAGAATCAGCAGCCCCAAAGAGCTCCACAGCCAATCTCACATCCCAGCATGGATCGTCATGCTGTCCGAAATTCAAACAATTTTTTATTTTTGGCTAAAATGGTTCCTGCCTCTTAGTTAAAAGATTGATGTGATGGCCAAGCTTAACAAGAGTTTTGCTGCTATGTGCCTTCTAAGACAGATTTGCACGTTTGCTTCTGTGCTCACCATGAATGTGTCATGGAAAATGTGGCCACATTGGGTTTAGGACTGATTAGCATCCTTTCTTGTGATGCAGCTGGAAGAATAGCTAAGGGTACCTCAAGGCTTTGTCCATCTATCTGGGGGTTCTTTGCATGGGTGGAAGGGAGCTTTTTCATCCTGAGGATGTTTGTGCTTTTATTCTGACATTTTTCCACTGTGTGTTCACTCCTGGGGAAAAACACGAATTTATTTTCCTTTCTCTGTGAAGAATCTTTAGAATGCAGTTGTAGCTAGAGACTTGTTCTTGGGTGTTTACAATTTGGGAATTACATTATATTTCCTTGAGATAAGCCTGGCTCTTTTCGATCCCAATTTAAAAAGCAGAGGCTTTTGAAGAGACCGTCTGCCTGAGGAAATGAATTCAACATTGTCCATCGATCATTTGGGGGAATCAATCAACCCATCAGCCCAGATGCTCCTCTTGTGAGGTCGCTGAAGGTCTGGCCAAGTCAGATGGGAGGGAGAGTTTGTTAAGTGCCATTAGCACATGAAAGGGGTTCCGGAGTTAGACGACCTGGGTTGGTTGGTGGGTGCCTGTTCTGTCTGCCTGTGTCTAAAACCAAAAAGGAACATTTGAATATGGATTAAAAGTTTTAATTGTCTTTGCTCATAGATTTTGTTGTCATCCAGAGTTTAAGATTTTGAAAAGGGGGTTCATACAAATTTAAGGATTGTCGAGAGGTTTTCTGCAAGAGTTAGTAGCCCTAGCAAAAGATCCTTCAGCCTCAGAATAAAAAGAATCTCACTTCCCACCAGGTTCCCCTTCCTTTCCTGCGTTGAGCTGGAGATTCCAAGCTCTTGTACAGCTTCCATAACTCTCTGCAAGCATGGGCATGGTAGTCCTAGCACATCTGGAGATGCTTAGTTGGGGAAGACCCTCTTGAGATTGGCCAGGCAAGTTGAGGGAGCT